TTAGCAAGAAGGGACCCCCTCCGGATCTTGTCTGATTATCCTTGACTGTAGGAGGCGCACTTGCTTGGAATTACATGGTAAATGCTTTTTTTTTTTTTTTTTTCACTCGGTATATGATAAAATTAGTGGTAAATTCAAGTAGTATATTATATTATACAATAGTTTTACTTCGAAATGGAAAGTTTTCCTGCTCAGAAACACAAAAAGTGAGTTCTATCACTGATAATGTCCAAAAATTGGCTGTCAGAATTAATAATGAAAGAAGTGACAGAGTGACTGCAATGGACTGCCATCATGCTTATGTTTTCTCCTTGGACCTCACTGGTACAGCTTAGTCATTCACGATGGTGATGTTTGCTATCTATCTAATTTTGTGCACACACCACTGCGGAGAAAGGCCTATTCCACATTGTGGCAGTCTATTATCAAACGAAGAAACTACATTGAAAGTTTCACTTCCGCAGAAATTTCACAGATGTTGGTGTCGGCATCAGTGGCGTTTGTTGTGAGCGAGAAATCGGCGTTGTCTATGAACGCAAAATTCCGAGAGAGCAAAAAAAAAAAAAAAACACCAGGCCTACGCAGCACAGTCACAGCAAAAGCTAGAAGAACGGCATTTTAGAGCCTTTTCTAAACACTCCTAAAATAACTGCTGCAAGCACACTTGCTTGATCCTCACTACAGCATTTATAATAAAAATTTTAGTGTACTAAGCCGGCGTTCGCTGTGCTATTTTTCTTCATGCTTCTGAGAAACGTGGTATCCGCTAAACTATTGCGAAGAATTTTGTGCCGATTGTTCATGCAGTGGCTGATGATAATGAGGAATAATGCCTGAAGTGGGTACGCGCCACAGTTTATAGTTAAATAAAAACAAGCTTTTGTAATGGGATAGAGCATTGACGACCCACTCGTTACGCTATTCGCATTGTGTGATGAATGCTTATTATTTCGCTGTTTTAAAACGCTTCGTAAGTCGTATTAACGCGATTGCTTTCCCAACATCAAGCCTGCCTAAGGCAAGTTTGCCAACAAGTCTCAAGTGGCTCAGTGGTAGAATACTAGGCTGGCACCCAGCGGACCCAAGTTCAGGCCTAACTGTGTTATTGAAACTAGTATTTTTTTTTTTCTGATTTCACGCCATGTGGTTATGGACACCGATGGCGGCGAACAACTACGGCGCTGCGCGAGGCCAGAGTTGTGATCTCATAAGAGCTTTTGCTGTAATAATAAATATCTTGGGTTCAAGCTGGAATCAAAGCCAAGCCTGGGTGGCAAGCTGGTGCTTGCCACCCAGGCTTGCAGGTGACCGCGACCACAATCTCAAACTGTTTCCGCCACAGTGGATTTGCAGCTGGAAGTGCGCAAGATAGTTGTGACGTCGACGTGGGTGGGGCTGAGGAGCTCATGCCAGTGGCATTGCGCGACACTCTTCGGGGCGTACGTTTTCCTGATTATGTTGAAGTTGACACCAGTTCATCGGTGTGTGGTGCCCTGACTGATCAGGACATTATCGCTCAAGTAGCCGGTGCGCAGCCTGATGCTGAAGAGCCAGAAGGTGAGGAAGACGAAAATGACGAAGCGCCTGTGCGCCCGTCAGCTTCTGCAGTGATTGAGGCACTTAATGTGGCGCGTCTCTTCTTCAGCTTTGAAGAGGGTGAAGAGGATTCCCTGCGCCGCGTCCGCGCGCTGGAACAGGGAGCCGCAGCTGTGGCATCCAGAGAAAAGAAGCAGATGGTCATCACCGACTTTTTTGGCCAATAAATATTTTTCGTGCCCCTACCCCCGAAATCCACCCATTTTTGCTCACTTTCATTATTTCCAATTTTGTTTAATTCGAAATTGCTCAGCGTTCTCGTGGAATTCGAATTAACGAGCTTTTACTGTACAAGGAGTCGTATTAACACGTGTAATATTGCGTGGTGGAAACACATAACCGTACTAGACATCACACAAATTATATTGCACAATAAGGAGGTGGTTTCAAGGCCTACTCATTACAAACCGCTCAGGCATGAATAATTAACATCTGCAATATTATCACCTGTAACAGCGGAAATGAAGCATGCAGCTCTGTAAGTGCATTCGTAAGTCTTTGGATGCATTGTCAGTTCTTTGCTAATTAGTAGTGCGATAAATTTTGTCACAGTGGGCGCTTGACAACGTTACTTGCAGTAGGCATTCTAGGGTAAAATGGCCCATGAGCTTGTACGGATGAAGAGTGAAGCCTGCTTGGCGAGAGTGAAGGCAGTACAAATGAGTTCCAATCAGGCTATTGCGTTTACACATAAAGGCAAGGATCAAGCATTCCTCAAGTTTTTTTTTTTTTTTTTTACTTCTGTGTGAAAACGTGTGTTAATATGTCAGTGTGATGTTGGTTGCATAATTTGATAGTTGTAGGTTCGGTCCCTGCTGGCCGCAAGTTATCTTTTCGTCCACTCTACTTTGTTCACATTTATACCGTAATTACAACAAATAATACCCCCTATACTTTCTGCGTAGCATGATTTTTTGTCAGTTCTCATTGATATTGTGTCTAACAAATAAAAAGAAGCCCTTAAAATTCCCCTTCTTTCTTCCATTCATAGCGAAGGTCTCGTTCTGGCAGATTTGGTACCTTTAGGCAGTATGTGAGAGATTATTAGTCAGCTGCCAGCGCATAGAGAGCTCATGTTTTGCGTGACACCAGCAGGCAGAAAAAGTGTCCACTTGCCGCCATGGCTGTGATCAACGCTAACATTCCAAGGTTTAAATGCACAGGCACACCCAGTGAATCGTACGTGTAATGCGAAGGTTGCAGGTTCAGTCACTGCTGGTGGCAAGGTATCTTTTTCTTCTTTTTACATCCTTTGCATTTATATGTGCTATAATTCATACAAATAATATACTCCATACTTTTTCTGGCATGATTGTTTGTCAATTCTCACTAATAGTCTAACTCAGAAAGAATAAACCCTTCGTATCACCACTCTTTCTCAACACAATGTTGAGAAAGACTGCTGCTTGAGCTGAGAAATCGTCAAGCAGTGAATGTTGCTGGAATCGATGTTTACTTTTTGAGGAGTGGCTCCAGCAATGTTCCTTTCTTGACAGTACTTTTCTTATATAAGTGTGGTGTCACAGATTTTTAAGCTTTTTTGTTTTTCTTGCATGTTTTTTCAACATTATATCGAGCAATCTTCTGACAAATGCTATTTTATGTGTGAGGCTGGATTTTTAGGCACTACAAATCGCATTTTTGGCACCAAGATCAGGCAGGCAAAACACAGATTTAGGCTCCCAAAAGTTGTAAATATGGGCTCGATAAATTTTTTATCACAAATTGAAATTTAGCGAAAACCTTTGCGACATGTGTCTGTGACAGGAAAGCAAAAGAAAAAAGCTGGGTTATGATGGAACAAAGGCATCAATGGTTTAACCTTGCCACTCTATTGTCCTTTTTCCCGCACGGTTTGGAAAAGATGGTCTGTTCTGTTATTGCTGTCCTGTTTATTGCTATATTTTGGTTTTAATTCAAATAAAATAATGAACCGTTGTGAACATCGTGGGCCGATTTGAATTGCTGAGGCTAAAAAGGTCAACCTGGTGAAGCGTAACTGCTAAACTTTTGCTGTACTTCGTCTTGCAGCAAAGCAGGTCCAAGCCTACAAAGCCAAACGGAGATGAAAGAATGAAGATTAGGCAAATCAGTGTACTATCCATTATTTTCAGGCTGGCTGAAGTACCGTGTGTTGCAGCTCCCGTAGACAGTTAGGGCCAGAGTTCCTTCTAGTGTATTTATGTGACAATCTGTGGCTTACCATTCTCTTCACTCTAGTACATACCAAGCACAGTGCTGATTTTGTAAATGCTTAGTTGTGATGACTGGAGTCCTTTTAATACTGTGGTTGCACTTAATGCAAGAAATTACCAATTTCTTAGAAGCAGTGGGATGAGCACCTTTGAGTGGTATGACTTCCAGTAATTAAGGTAGTGCATGTCATCTTTGAGCACAAGTAGAATGATAATTTTTTTTTATTGCATGAGAGGTGTAATGTGCCAACCAACAACATAGAAAAGAGATATTTCACCATCTACATTAAACCTTGCATTGCCAGAAGTGAATTTGCCTAGTTGATCAACAGAATTGGTCTGTGCACAAAAGCTGCAAGGACGTGGGCAGGGCTTGCAATACCCTCCTGTATCCCCCCCCCCCCCTTTTTCTACTTCTCGCTTTTTTTTTCATGGCAACCAGCAAAAGGAGATGGGAATAGGATTTCTTAAGGCCGCAGTCCGATATGTGACCATGGCCTCATCGGACCCTGTTCATCAGATTGCATGTGTACTATGATAGCCACATGCAATCTAAAATATGAGTTGAGAGCCAATGGTGTGCGTGTATCATTTCCTTTTTCATGGTGTCCTTTAATATTGCAAGCCTTAAGAATTGTAAGATTTGGTAAAGAAAGAGTTTGCTGTTATTAAATAGTCTAGGTGGTTCTGCTTGAAGAAGCCATGGTCATGGTTTTTCATCACAAGTTGCTGATAATGCTTTTAGAGTAGAGAATAGTTTCCAATTTTCTAATAAGATGTCTCACCTTTGAAGAGCTTTTATTTCATGTCTTTTTATATGAAAAAAAGCATAATAATAGGTCAAGCACATCAGTATTGCACCCAAGTCCTTCAATGAACACTGTTCCGTACATGCTCTGGTGATATGCTGTTTCCTCATCCCAATAGTGACACTATTATTATTTGCTATGTTACTAAAAGCAGCCATTTATAATTTAAAAGGTCTAGTTGACAGATGTTTCACTATGAAGTGTTTCACATGCATCAGGTAATATGGCTAGCCCCCCCCCCTTCCCCCCCATCTGTTTTTATGAAGCACTATATACTAAAGAAAAGGGTGAACCTTATTAGGGTTGCATTGCATATATATATATATATATAAAGGGAAAAAAGTGCATACTTAAAGGCTCGTTTTTACGTAAGAGCAGTATCTTTGGTCTATATGTGCAGGTGTGCCCAGTGTGTGCCTCCATGCCATGGGGGAATCCTCACCAGCAGTCCATCAACTTTATAAGTCATCTAAATTTCAGGCACCGCTTTGAGTATGACTCTTACGTGGTGAGTGAACTTCCTTGAACAATTCAAAAAAGAATGGTAATGGTGATGTTTAAAAAAATGGTGTGGCCTACCTCTGGCATTCAACAATATAAAAGCTTTTCGTGAAAATGACACTGGACTATGTCACTTTAATTCAGTCTTTCCATACCCACTAGGATCTAATGACATGTTCCGGAAGGCCAGTTGTTTGTTCCTTTAAAGCAAAGAAATGATCGCAAACAGTACAATATATGCAGACAAAACTCTTCCAAAGCTTACAAGCTCTTGGGCTTGACTCTTAATTGTCAGTTTTAAACCAGTAGTGTTTCTTCATGAATAGTGAACAATGTGCGTGTATTTCTGAGGCATTAGTCTCCCTGTTTTGCATGTTGCAGCTTGGCTAGCACATGCTAATTTACAGCACCCTAAAGTAGAGGCCCAAACTTTTTCTCTGAAAAAACATTCTTCTCGATGCCTTTTCTAATACTTTGCAGGGTATTTATTCATCCTCCGTACCTGGTGGATATGGTTTGCTTTGCCATTTCATTTGTTGCAGTTACCTTTACAATCATAAGGAAAGGACTCACAGTTTGCTCAGCTTTCTTTCTTTGTTTTTGTGGTATAGTGTGATGTAGCTATCAACTTGGCAGTTGATGCAAAGAAGTGTATACTTAAGGGCTCACATTTCAGTATTTTTGACTCAATATTAATGAGATCTAACAGACAATAATGCCAAGTAATGTATAGGAGAAGTTATTAGACCAATTGTTATATAAATGAGAAGAAAGAAAAGTGGGTGAAGAGATCACTTGCCGTGAGCAGTAATAAAGTGGCTCGGGGGTAGCCGCCGTGGTAGCTCAGTGGTAGAGCATCGAATGCGTTATTCGAAGGTCGCAGGTTCGGTTCCTGCTCACGGCAAGTTATCCCTTCACCCACTTTTCTTTCTTCTCATTTACAATTCGGTCTAATAACTTCCCATATACTTTTCTTTCTTGGCATTATTGTCTATTGGATTTCAGTAATAATGTGTCAAAACACGAAAAAATGAGCCCTTGGGTATACACTTTTTTCCCGTATATATATATATATATATATATATATATATATATATATATATTGATACATAACAGCCGCTAAACACGGCTGCATGAAAGAGAACGACGAAGTGAGTTGTGTTTGATGCTGGACTGGCGCCATCTTGCTCGTCGAGTTCTGTGCGTTCTAAATAGATTATTAAAGAAGTTACTCGAAACCATATGTGTGTGTGTGTGTGTGTGTGTGTGTGTGTGTGTGTGTGTGTGTGTGTGTGTGTGTGTGTGTGTGTGTGTGTGTGTGTGTGTGTGTGTGTGTGTGTGTGTGTGCACGCACATTATAATCCATATTTTGTAGTGCTGAAGATTGTGCCACAGCTTTGGCGCTCCAAAGTTTTATATTACACATTGAAGGCTAAGCATGCCACAACTAGTACCGATGAAGGTAAGGCTGGGGCGGTGGCATTGTGTTCTTAAGAGTTTTTGAGAAACTTTCAAACTAGAATGCATTCTTTTCAGTAAGGAATCGTAGCTTTCTCTCTCTTTTTTTTTTATTAATTGTTGTTTAAGTTTTATTTGCTCTTCCTAATGTAGGAAATGGCTGTATGGATAAATCCGTGCAGCCTTACCAGCATCGTGAAATGTTGCATGCTGCAGTAATGCAAAAATATTTGTGGTGTTTTGATGCAGGACTACGCCTTCGATGATGATGAGGCCCTGCAGCAGGCCCTGGAAGCTTCCCTGAGAGAGCAATAAAGGGCACAGCGTTGTGAAAGACATGGCTTTCCAATGCTTTTTTGTACCAGTCATGTACAGCATGAGATAGTCTTTCTCCGCAGATTTTAGGTGCCACTTTTTTGTTTTGTTTGTTTTTTTAACTATTGCAGTTTTTAAATATAGGTTTTTGTTGCTGCAGGTACAGCATTGTATGTTAGCATTTTTTCAGAGATGCGAGTTTGACTTAGGATATTGTTTGAAAACAGCATCTTGCTTTCCTTTTATAAAAGGACTGACAAAGTTTGTTCAGTACCGCTGAAATTTTATTGGCAAAAAACAGTTGTAACTCATTTAACGCGTGTCTGTCGAACCACCAGCAAGCAGGAGGAATACAGGGGACTGATGGCATATTTCAAAGGTATTTTTACGCACAAATAGTTTCATACATCTGACTATAAACTGCCTTGTAATTGTATGGTGCACATAAGTGTCGACAAAGTTCCACTGTGCATTCTTGCAGCCTTCTCTGCCAATTTTTTTTAACCACCCATCTAGAACTGAGTAGTTAATATAATGATATATTTTACTTTACATCACAAATGTATCGATCAACTGCCAGTCCCTCTTTGACCTGGACAAAAGAATGCAAAGAAGTGTCCGTGCCCTGTTGTCTAGGTACTTTGTGAGCCGTGCATATCATCGACTTAATATCATCCTTGCCCTGAAGAGATGTGAATCCTGGCACTTCATGTCCACCCACCCACAAATGTGCTAGCTGTATATGTAGATACACAAGTTGCTGTTTTCTGTGTTGCTCACAAATGTGATTTGTAGTCCTTTAAATGCTTGCAACACATTTTAGCAAGCATGAAAAACATGGTCAAGTGTGGCCATACTGTGTATCATCATTATTTGCTACTCTTATAAATGCACCCGCTGTTTGGAGTAATATCTCCGGTCTAGTGATTGACAGCCTGCTAATTGCATATGCTTTTGTAAAGGGCATGCTACAGCAGTCTGATGCCAAGTCTGTCATCTTGGTGATGCCAAGATGACATACTTGGCATCACCAAGTCAACATTGTTACAAAATCGTGTTTCGAATAACCACCAATGTCTGTTGACTGTTGGTTGATATACTGCCCACAACAATAGCTTCAAAATAGCTGTGTGTCTTGCTGCAGGTGTCTGTGAAGCTACAGTCGACTCTCGTTGATTCAAACTCTAAGGGACCTCAGAATTTCGTTTGAATTATCAGGAAGTTTGAATTAGCAGAAGTTTTCAGATATGACTCTGGGCAAAGTGACACATTGATTTCATCACGTTGAAAATTCTTTAAACGTTTTTGAACCCTAACTACACCCAGTGAACAGAAAGCAGAAGTGTAAGGTCCACAAGTTTATTGGCCATTTACTGCTTATCAGACCTTTTATAGAAATCGTGAATGGCTGACTGCTTCTTTGCTATACGTGTCTTCAGCATAAAGTTCTTTATACCAGTTCAAGAGAATCATGGTTTACAATGTGTGTGCTTCGTTAAAACATTTGACTAGCAGAGCTTTTTTCCTTAAAGGCCTGAGGCTCTTTTTTTTTAGACTGTTAGGATTATAAAACAGTATAAGGAAAGCAGCCGATATTTTCTGGTATGGAAATGCAAAAAGTATGAATTAACTGAATGAGGGAGTTTGAATTGAGAATAGAGAAAAGAATAGAGGGCCAACCAAAAAATTGAATTTCATTAACCAAAAGTATGAATTATCAGAGTTTGAATTATCGAGAGTCTACTTATATATGTGGGGAGGGACAGCATAACTTGTTATGTTATTTTCCATATGGCACATAGAGGACTTTGCAACAAAGGACATACTTCAGAATTGCATTACATGATGTGTACCACCTCTTGGTTGTGTATACACCACACAAACAAAATTATTTAAGATAAAACTTGCGTCACCTAGGCAAGAAAGAACGAAGAAGTGAGAGTTGCTGCACGAGCTTCGCATTCTTTGCCATCAGCTACAAAGCAATTGCTTCTAGCATGACATATGTTTGACGAGATGGTGCTATATTTTTCATGCTGAAAGCTACGTTTCCCATGAGTGACAGCCGGCATTAAAGGTGTCGCGCATTTCGTGACTTGCTTGCTCAAATTTTTTGGGTATGTCGCGAATTAGCGACACTAAGCACTAAAGAGGTTAAGGAGCCTTTAAGAGATCAGCTATTCGAACTTTCTTGTATTGCAGATACTGTTCATTTATGTTTCTTGATTTTACTGTTACCAAGCGGACACAGGACTATTGAGAGTATATGTACAATACGAATTCTAGTCTCCATTATGTAGCCCCTTTTACGGTGACTCATTTAGACATACAGTTCAAGTGCTGTGGTCCAGGGTGGTACCAGCTTTCACGAACACTCTTCCTTTGACATCATGTTGCAATCTCCAAGGAAACCATTGTATGTTTCACTTGCCAATGAGACACTGTTGCTGGTTTATTGCCAATATGCTAGTCACTCAAGTGATTAGCTGGAGAGGTAGGTTTGTGCATTCCACTTTTTGTAATGCAGGTACATTACATTTTTGCTTGTATTTTGTTACTGCACATTAAAAACTTGCGAATTTTTACCTCTACAAAGTGCAATTGCTTGGACTACTGTAGTCACAATGTACTTAACCTGTAACACACACAAGGTTTTATGCTGTACCATCAATCTACATGAGCGAGCAAGCTGCTGTTGGCCTTGACCAACCTGTATTGTTCAGGCTTTTTATACTGTTTATCCGACATCTCCATAACCTAACATCTGTGCAGGGCTCATATGCCTAAACTGCCAGACTTTTGTTATGGTTATTGCCTAAGAATTCGGTTTTATCACTCCATGTTTCATTTCGTTGATTGCTCACTACAAATGTCTGTAAAAGTGATGCTGCATAGCAATTTCTCATCGAGAAAACATTGTACTTTGGTCAAGTTCATAAGCTCCTCTTCTCAACTGATGTGCTATTGAATGTGCAGAGTATAAAACAAACATGGAGCTTCCAACGCATGCCTACTATGTGAAGATTTGTATCATGGTGCACAAATTTTGTCACTTTACAGTAAAACATCACTGTACTTTTGCAAACAGCAGAACTCATTTTTACAAATCATGCATTGCCCTCCTTTTTTTTTAAGGTAACCCATAGCCAAATTGCAAGTTAATGTTCTTTGCCCATAAACATATATATCTTGTTCTGTTTCAGCTGCTATTCTGTATCTACTATCCTACAGGTGCCGTAGATGATAAGATAGGGATCCTTGTTTATAAATAGAGCTAATTGGCTATGCAAAAAGGGAAAAAAAGTTTGACATTTCATGTTGAGCCCCCTCTGCAAGAGGTGCCAAGTCTCTCCATAGAACATGTCTTCCCCTTGTGTTAGTGTAAGCTCTCAAAATTCAAAGTAATAGTGATTGATTAGGCTTGACTAAGAATGCCAGGTATATAAAAAGACTACACAGTGGTAGGGTTTAGATAAATTGACCACAAATTTTGTATGCTTTTAAAATCTCTGTATTTCAAAAGCTCTACATTTCAAGTGCACTCTTTAACTTTGCCTTTACAAATTCCCTCCCTTTTGCCAAGCTAGCCAGCAGGCAGCCTTGTATATAACAGCCCACTGCCAAACAGAAGTTTGAGGCTCCTGTCGTGCACATATTTTTAGGAGCTTAAAGCAATAATTTGTTTCACCTTCTGTGCTACATTGTTAATTGGAGTATTTAGTTTACAACAGCAAGCAACCCATTTAGCTCAGTAAAACACAACCACACACACAATTACGATCTAGTAAGCACTTCTCAGTAAGTTTATTCCAGCTGGTGAATATTTTCATCATTATGGCATGCCTGGCTTTCTCCTCTTGCCACAGTGCAAGATGAGAATGTCGCCATGTTTGCGATATGATTACCTGTAAAGAAAAGTTGGGTGGTGCAAGTTTGGCTTGCTTTTGAAACCGAAGAGTTTGCTTTTTTTTTTTTTTTTTGTAAACGGCTTTTGTCGTAAAATGTCACCATAAGTGCATCTTGTGCATTCAAGTGTGTGGATGGCGCCTTGTTTTTGGCTTGCTTTTGAAACCGAAGAGTTTGCTTTTTTTTTTGTAAACGGCTTTTGTCGTAAAATGTCACCATAAGTGCATCTTGTGCATTCAAGTGTGCGAATGGCGCCTTGTCAGTGTGCCCACGTATGAAGCCTTGTCGGGCATCATTTCAGGCCAAACTTTAGCTGGTGAAAAAGGTTCACTTACAATTTTGTAGAACCTGTAAATTTACAGTAAGCTTCCACACCATGTAGATGTGGTACTTGTTTGATGTTATTCTTCGCACTACATAAGTTGGCCAACAGTGCTGATATTGGTATGCAGGAGTAGCCACTCCTGTAAACATTGTGAAGAGTCTTCCCATGTGTTTGATAGACACTTTTCATTTTTCACTTTTGTACACCATTTGTACATAACTTCTATTCAATAAAACTTTTAAAGAAACTTGTTGCCTGAAAGTTACTTTAAGAAAAGCTCTAACAGCTTTGCACTTGACTGTGAAGCAAAAATACAGCAAATGTTGTGCTAGTAAAAAAGGTCATTTTAACGGAAACTTCCAGATCAGATTAATCGTTGGCAGGTAAGTGCAAAATGAAGCACTAAATGAGCATTAAAAGCTATCAGCGTGACATTAGATCAGATAAACAATTTGAAGACCGCATCAACAGTGGCATATCCAACATTTTCCAGTATCTAGGAGAAAGACAAAACTATTGCAAATCGCGTTCAAACATTGAGATGTTCTGGCTTGTGGGTGAGGAACTCTGCACTAAAGTGTGCACAGAGTTCCTCAGTGCAAGTAGACAATGCTAACCAGGTATTTTGGTGTGTTTGGGTCTTCCAAGATTCTTGATGGCAATTTGTAAGCATTTACAAAAGCTAGCTTGATTTTTTAACCACCTCATTTTTTTGCGCACTTCCAGACTCTGCATCAATAAAGGTGGAGCTTGTTCCGATAGTGTATGCAAGCTTCAATGACACTAAAATGTTGATATTGCATAACCAATACCTTGCCAAGAATGAAAATGCGAACAAAAAAGAATTGGGAGATCCCTAAGCTTCACCTTTAAAAGTTTATTGTGATAGTGATATACTGTCCCTAATGGTTATTTCAAACACATAGTGCATGAAATCTTTTTGAACTTGCTATGCACCCACTACGTGGCCTTATGGGAATAGGCACAGTGCCTTCGGTAGTGGGTGACCAGCTTTAAATGATGTCTGATAATCTCATGTCCTGACATCTGATGGCAACAAGTGCTTGTTCCAAGTGCTTGATGGCAACAGCTGCATTCCCAAGCAGAGGAATTCATTTTCACTGTATTCACAAGCAGGCGCATGGCTATGTGGTAGATCTCCCGTTTGCCACGCAGACAACCTGCATTCGATACACACAAAACAAATTTTTGCTCACAACCAACGATGCCGTTTTTTTTCTGCAAAACGAGCTCTGTAACGCTATCTTGTTATTATGCAAAGCCATATGTAGCATCCATTTTGCAAGTTGATTGATTGATATGTGGGGTTCAATGTCCCAAAACCACAATTTGATTATGAGAGATGCCGTAGTGGAGGGCTCCGGAAATTTCGACCACCTGGGGTTCTTTATCGTGCACCCAAATGTGAGCACACGGGCTTACAACATATCCGCCTCCATCCTCTTTTCAAGTGACTGCATTGTAAAGGCTTTGGCTTGGCATGTTTTCATATGATGCTGCTGTACCAAAGTAGAAGCAGAAGCTTTGGTCGGCAAGAAATTCAACAGGGGGAGGTTTAACCAACCTTTTCAAAATTTTCTTTCACTATATTTTTTTCATGGTAAATGACAAGGTTTGGGTATTTTGAGAGAACACACAAATGAAATGATCCCAATTTCATGTAACACCCCATTAAGCACATCCTGAAAAATTGCAAACTAGCCTTTCAATGATCAAATTTAAACTGATAAATATATTCTGCAAACTATACTGTAATGTTTCAGCATTATAGGTTTAGTAATAGCGAAGAACATCAAGGTCATAGTTTTAACTTTAACGTTCTCGCTGAAACCTCCAAACAGGACATCACAGATTTCAATGTATTTGTACATATTCTGGCAACATTGGCTCAACAAAATTAAAGAAGTTTTGGTTAATTAAAGAAGTTTCTGGCCCCCCTAAGAAGACAATGTACAGCATTTTTTCCCGATTAGGAGCTATGCGAGCCCTAGCATACACGTCAAAATATAAGTCTTTGTGACCAGTGCCACAACTTCAGTATGGCATTGCCGCTTGCATTCGCTTTGTTTTCTCGCTTACCAGTAGTCTTCCCATGCAAGAGTGGCGATTGTGAAAGAGTGATGTACTAATGCATGAAATTTTTTTTTTCTGTTTAGTGATCCTTCAAAGCTTGATATTGTGAACCAATATAGATGGCGCTTGCCTACTAAAAAAAAGAGACTTCAATCTTGAAGCACTGCTATGAACACATGTTTGCTAGCGCATGTTTATTTTCTTAAGTGTGGAATTTATCACAAGTTCCATAAAATATCAATAACATGCTTTATTTAATACTCCCTTAAAATATTGTGCATCTTCCCTTCTCGCTTATGTTTCTCAGATGCAGTATTGTGCACAGCATTCACATTAGTAACATTTATCTTTGAAGAAATAGCACAAACATTTTCAGCACTAAGGTACAATCATCTGTACATGCATAGCAGCTGCAGCTACAAAAGCAAGGTTGAGCGTAATGACAGCAGCAGTGCAATTTTCTGAGTAGCGCACATATGCATTCAACCATACAGACATTTGGATGCCCAGCAGTTTTTACGTATCGAAAAAATGGGCTTCTCCAACAGGGTGACGACTATTTTTCTCCATTTTTAGTATAACCTAAAAATGATTAATGTCTGTCACAGTGGTATTTGCATAATTTAATGCATGCAGTAACCTCCTTAATACATGTTCTTTAACTGTTTCTTTCTCTTTACTGAGCATTTACAATTAGTACTGCACATAAAAAAATGTTGCTTTATCTGCTACTTGTAAACCGACAGCACACTCGCAGCTGCGATGTCAATCGTGCTCCAGTGCAAGAGAACTGTAATAAATAGAGCACATATTCTTGCTTACATAACAGATCAACAGTAAAAGCACTCGGACAAATTTATTGTTGGTTGGAAACTGCGAAAATTCAGCCAGCAACCTGTTTTAGTAATGATAAGCAAACATCCATATAACCTTTTTGAAATGAATCACAACCCAACCATCTCGTACAAATGCCAGTATAGCATGTAGACAAATCACATCAAAGAACTGGTGTCCATAAAAGAAGAGGTGGAATGAATGCAGCAGTCTATTAGCATGTTAACAGAATGCAGTAAATCGTCACATCCGCAGGCTAAATACAAGCTTGAGGAAATCTTCATAGCCAATGGTGATCCACCCATCTTGGTCAGTGTCGTAATGCCGGAAGGCTGCTGTCAAAGTCTGAAAGAAAAAAAAGGAAGCATATTTACCACAACCAATTAGTATGTATTTGTGCACAACTGCATTATGCAGGTCTAAGAGAACATTGAGTATCTAAGAACAATGTGGTCATCATTAGCTCATAAATGTTTGCAGTGCACTGCAGTGAAAGTATAACAATAGAGACAATTATGGTGCCAAATATTATTAACTATATTGTGCAGAAAGTACTTCTTGTGCACTTTTTTCACAAAGAAATAACTTGTCATCCATCTGCAGGCCATATCTCCTCATATGTTCATGCTATAAAGGATCATTAAAAGACCAGTGAACAAAATTTCAGATGAAGAGGTAACTGAGCATTTGTATGACTTGAACATGCTTCTGCAAGAATTCGGCAAACGAGTTCAGTAATAAAGTTTAGGATGTATAACAACCCACTTTGGCTTGTTTTCGTTTCCTGCACGGCCTTCCCACCCTTCTCAGCTATGAAAAGAGGTAGGCAGAGCCCTTTTTTGAGACCGCACCCACTTCAAAAAAGGTACCACGACATCTGCGGTTACCTCATCGCTGTGCAGCCGATAGCGAAACAAGGCATTCTCTACACAGCGCCGCAAGGAAATGGCAAGGTAAACAAATATGCCATGGCGCATGCAGCCTTAGTCTAGCAGCAAAGCTGTGAGACGCCTCTTCATCTGAGAGGCTTTCATTCTGGTGATACCACTTGTTCTGGTACATAGTCTTCGGGCTCTACCAAAGTGGCAGAAAACAGCCCAGGAATATCAAAAAGCGGACTGCACAGCCAAAACTGCATTACCGCAGGCACAAGGTGAAGTTTCGAAGTGCAAGGACCAATTGACAAAGTTCACAATGTTGATGGGCAAGATTACATCACATTGTGAGTGAAAAGAATTGGTCAGGCACAGAAAAGGGGCAACAATTCAATTGAAATGGAGAGTCTGCACTATGATATTGACAAAATGTGATCGCCACTGCTTTCTACACAAATTAACGAGCTTGTTTGTAAGGTGAAAGTTAAGTCTGAACCTGTTCGCTCGCACATTAGGGACAAGCTATCACAGGAAGATCTCTGGCAGCATAAATAATCAGACTCAATTCCTCATCATCACTTTGTGACACAACTTGGGAAAAAAAAAGAAAAACGGCTGACAAAAGCCCAGATTCAGCTCATATGCCTAACAATACAAACAATAAAAACCAAATATCAAGCAAAATTTCCCAGCAGTGAAGCGGTTATCTACAAATGATGGACAAGTAACTGGCGACATTGGTCATAAATGCTTTTGGCAAGCATTACTTCACACTGATGCTACTGACAGAGATGCCTGATTAAAGTATTCTCACATTGCTACTTTGATTTGTGCTGAAGCTGCCTCTTTGTATCAGTTTACTTACCCAGAAATTTAAAAACAGGGTCTTTAAAAATGTGACAGGGCCCCTTTAAACATGACACAGATTTTAAAAATCCAGCTTATCGTAGTTTAGCAAAGAAGCCTATAAGTACAGCTCAGTTTCTATACCCTGCATTATATACAGGGTGTTTTTTTGTTTTAAGCAATACAGACTTTCCTTTAAAAAACTATTATAGGTAGGCACTTGTCTTCTTAGTAGACGAATTCTAGGTCGAGGCAAAAAGATTTTGCCACAAATTATATCACTCATGAATGATTAATCAACAAACATAATTGAATCAACTTTTTTTATTATCGATATTATAGTGGTTGTTTAATGGTGAAGTTGTTCTACGTCACAAAGTATGGTGAGCCTAGTTTTTAAAAATTGGAAATATGACACGCGATTTCAGAGATCCATCGTCGAATTTGCGTACCGTGGTGCGGGAGATACCGAAACTAATGCGTTGAGGGTGCCAGAAGGGCGGTTACAGTGGGCAATATACCACGCAAAAGCAAAAAAGTTTCTGAAGTTATAAGCTATGACTATGGGCCCTGAACAATTGCTCAACCTGAAACATCAGGAGGAAAAACAGGGGGAACAGACAAATGTCACCTGTAATGTCACACAGCACTGGATGAAGTCATCAAAGTTTATAGAGCCTTTTCCATCCCTGTCAAACTTGACAAGCAGCATACTCATGGTTGGCTCACTGAGGCGATAGCCTGCAACATAAAATGGGCTAACTTTTGTCACATTCTTGAGAAATGCTTTTTTCATTTTATTAGTAAACTACAGCAACAAACAACCACGCATGAAAGATGTTTCATCTTCCTCTATTTCAGAGTAACGAAAGCGTTCAAATGATCCTTCAATTTTTCTTTCCCCTTCTAGTTAGGAGTGATTGTTTTTTAGTGATGTCAAGAACTTGAGGCCCCATCATCAATCTTATGCGATACTGACCCCAAGTTCTGCTAAATGCATATCATCATACATAAATTTCAGCTTGTTTCTCACTTCCTTGCATCATTTCTGTATGTTTGTCTGACAACTGAATGGTAAAGCCAGTGATAGAACTTGCCAACATCATCAAATAAAACAAATATTTTCAACCACAATGGTGCAGCTTCTTTAACAGCTGAAACCTTACTTTTAAAGCAGTTATCAGTCGCACATTTTCCGACAAGCAGTAGTGCCATGTTCAACTAAATCCATATGTATACATACAAGTGTGTTTCTTTATATGTGATATCCTAGAACAGAAGCGTAGTGACCAAACTTTAGAATTTATTTGCACAAGCTGCACTGCAATATTATACTACATGTCTTGAACAAGATGTAGCACTTAGTTAAGGCTGCCAAAGTATGCAGTCTGGTGGAGGTGCTCCCACCCCTCATTCCAAAAAAACTGGGGAGGCACATAAGGAATGATGTTTCAGCTCCGCTAACATGAAACTGGGGGAGGGGTGAAGCACGCAATGTTCTTTGAGATTTTTTTGATGAGGCACTAGTAGTGACAAGCCTGAAACCGGGCACGTAGGAAAGGGTGTTTCCGCTGAATTAATGTCCTCTGAAAACTACATCAGAACGCAGCTTGCCCTTAAGGTGAAGCTTCTTCCCTACCTGCTAAGTTTCAGTTCCCCATGACAAGTAGGGAAGGTTGTTTCGAATTCACTAACGAAGTGTGGCAGCTTGGGCTAGTTGGTATGGCGTGACGAAAGTTATAGCGCGAGAACAAAGCGACGGCACAGAGACACAGTGTCTTTCGTGTCCTTCTTGTCTCTGTGTCGTCGTTTTGTTCTCACGCTATAACTATCGTCACTAACGAAGTCAATAATTTGTTAGGCTAACTGTTGCCTTCTTCATTTCTAGTGTAACCGTGGCAAGTAGTGAGACTTGCCCAATTTTTGTGGTGCATACCCATTTATGATATGATGAAAGTGACTACATGGCACACCGTGATGACATCAGATACTGACAAGGCGAGACTCTTCGCACCTAACAAGTGTGAAGAGGGGGGGGGGGGGGAGGCATTCGAAGCTTTTGTTTCATAGCATGAAATTAACTTGCCACTCTTCATTTTCCTGTGCTCTGGGGTGGCTCAGTGGTTAACGCCTCTCTTTCACTATTCATTTTCCTGAGGCATGGCCACAAGTTTCTATGGTTCTGTGACCTCAGGTCACCTAAGCTTTACCCCCATATACTTCGTCTTTTAGTGAGGTTTTCCACAGTCAGTGTTTTACTTGCAGTACTGGAAGCACTTGTAGCTGTATAAATCTTCCATGCATTTTTTTTTATTGTTGAAAAAGTATTATTTTAATGATGTTTGTGGTTTCACTTCAAGGTAAGCACTCACATTATTTGGAAATGTACAGTCTGTTTCACACTTTAATAAATCTTGTGCGTGGCCTCGCAATGCGGCCATGATGCAACAAGCGCGGCATTCGCGCGCCAGCAGCAGCTCACGCATGCGCGACGCTTGAGGGGCATTTTGCCGAGTGGTTAAACCAAGTCGTCAGCTACGGCGGCGCACGCTGGCGACATTGTCAGGCAGCAGGCGAATTTCATCATTACTTCGGAAACTAGGCTAATATTTCTCATCGTGTGACAGTATGCCTCACTGCTGTCCAAAATGAGCGCCGTCATCGCTGCCACTGGGGACATGACGGTTGATTGATTGATTCATTCATTCATTGATTGATTTGAGGGGTTTAACCCAAAAGCACCGTATAATTATGAGAGACGCCGTAGTGGAGGGCTCCGGAAATTTCGGCCACCTTGGGTTCTTTAACGTGCACCCAAATCTGAATACCCGGGCCTACAACAGCCGGCATTTGATCCTGCGGCCTGCGGGTCAGCAGTCGAGTACCTTAGCCACTAGACCACCGTGGCGGGGCGGGGACATGGCGGGGTATTAAGTGAAGTTGGTAGCTTCACGCGTGCATTTCGGCGCCAGCAAGTGAGTGCTGCTTTGAGTAATGAAATACTCACTTGCTCAGTATATATTTATCGGTTCAAGCAAAAATAAAAGATCAGCTGAAAGTAGCGCTTTATCCGAGTAAGTTCTCTTGTACGTCCATGTCTGTTCGCGCTTACTCACAAATAGAGGATGCAAACCAACTAGCCGACATTTTAGCAATGAAGTGCCATTGAGAAGTCGTATCAGCTTGTTATTTTATCCTACAGCATTTCTGAACTCGTTCTCATTTGTTTTGTTGTGTTGAGCACACAAAGTTGCACAGCAGTAACTGTGGAGTGCTCCGTTTTTGTTTTTCTTTAAGCGTCCAATAAATAAATACCACGCACGGTAGGTGCTCATTATGGTACACAGCGTACTGTGTTTCACACACAAAAAAACAATATGCATGAACGCCTTCAGTACCACGGCGTTTCGAAAGAGCAAACAACGTAAGCTGTCAAAGTGTTTCAAAAACTCCATTATCGCCAACAAAGGCTGAGAGGTTGGCATTGCACAACATTTAGTACAAAATATCGGCCTAGTTCCCTCAGAAACGATGAAATCAACAGGTTGCCCAACAATGTGGCCAGCGCGCACAGCCGTCGCAGATGATGAGGTTCAGTAGTACGCTCCTCAAGCGTCCGCGCAGGCGCGAGCTGCTGCCAGCTCACGACTGCAGCGCTGGCCACATCGCGATGCCATGCGCTCCGAGAGATCCCTTAAGTATGAAACAGACTATACATGCTGTTGCACTCTATGAACAAGTAGATAGCCAAGCAGACAGACAAGTCTAAACTTAGATTTAAGTGCACCTTAAATCTAAGTTTACACTTGTCTGTGGTCAAAATATGGTCAAAACTTTGGGAACCTTCCACTAAAGCGTCCTTCATAATAATTTTGGTTTTGGGATGTGAAACCCTATTAATTAGTATTATGTCTGCACCCATAATCACTCATAACCAGTGATAACTTACACATAAATTTCAAACACCTGTTTTTTATTTTTTGTTTTTTTTTCTCTTTGAAAGACCGCAAAAACGTCTCGGCACACATTTAACACGAATTATGCAATTTTCACCAAAATGTAGCTAGTTTCATTTTTTGGTGCAGTTTGACACATCTGGCACACAAACAACATTCCTGCGTAATGGCAGTCTGCAAGGCTACACACTGCATACCATAACATATCTGTAGCACCTTCCATGGCAACCCTATAGTGACAAAACTCCGTGTAACACCAAAAATAATAATAAAAAAGGTTCAGTAGATGCATCGCAGTATAAAACGTGCTGGTACACACCAAACTTGGTGAGAGCCTCAGTGAGTTCGCCCTTATCTATGGCACCAGAACGGTCTTTGTCAAAGCTCTGGAAGCAGTTGAGCCAGTTGGTGATGTAATTCCAGAGAGAGACGAATTCGTCGAAGTTGACAGTGCCTGTTCGGCTGCGGTCAAACATGCCTGGTGAACGAAACATGTCTGTGTTGGAGGAAGAGGACAGCACACATGATGATGATAATGGAGAGAGAGCAGAGTGATGAAGAGTGCGCCACAAAGTTGGTATCCTTGCATTGTCAAAGTACACAAAGCCGTGCCACAGCACAAGAAACACACTGGCAGAAAGACATACAACTACAGCAAAGACTTGAACAGTAATACAACACATTGGCTTAATACATAGGATAACAAGCTCAGCTAATGTTGATTCGAGTGCACCTACTTGCTGTTGTCTTGCTCTAGGGCAATAAAGCTTGCGGGAACACGTATAGAAAATTGAGAAAGTCAATACTGACTGCCAGCCGAGGTATTATCCAAACAGGCATTCATTTATTGACTAATTTTTATAGGGAAGCAAAAATGTTTACTGTAAAATCAGCCACTCCATACAGTGAAAGCTTAATTATTATACACCCACTTAAAATGTAGCAATGGCTATAAAGTAGAGCAAGTCCATGACCTGGTTTCCATACAGCTAAGTTGATGATTCACACTGTAGCAGTAGAGTTAATTGGCTACCTGTGAGCATAGCACATCCAAGTGTTGTCAGATACAAGCTAGCCATGTTTTCTCAGTTTGTAGTCTAGATTAAATTGCATGGTGTCAAGAAACATTTTCTACCATTCTCTGAAAAGTAGACTTCAATAATTTATTTTGGCTTTTCTAAAGTAGGCTGCTGATCATCAACAATGCAATACAGTTTGTCCTAATTATTTTGAATTTCCATTCGATGCAAATATAGTTACAAGATGTTCTATGCTTATTAAAAACATATGGCATATGTTACACTGACAGTGATGGAAGGGATATTTTGCTTTTTGGAGCAGATTCTGGAGAAGGAAAAATCGTGCTATGGAGCAGCCTTAGGTGTTTTCGGAGCAGAAAAAAATGCTAGCTTAGGGGAGAAGATGCATGTTCCTAACAACTCCTGCAGTCTAAAACATCATTTAGGCATCTCATAAATATTTATATTTATTATTAAATAGGCAGTATGCTAGTATGCAGCTAGTACCCAAGCAGTAAGGTAGCATCATTGGCATAAATCATGGGGGGAGTCCAGACTTCCCTTGTGTTCAGGTTGGGAGAACATCCCTTGCAAATGTCCCCCTTGAGATTTAGCTTTAGCACATGACATACCTGAGTTAGTAGTTAAGCATGGTGCAATTAACTTTTTAAAAGGCTGTTTATTTTTCACTGTGTAGTTGTGTTAAATGCCCCTCTGCTGTGTGAATTGTTATAGCGCGAGCTCAGAATAACGAGAAAGGGACAAAAAGAAAAGCGCTACTTTTTCTAGCACTCGTCTTTTTGTCCTTTGTCAACATTCTGAGCTTATGCTATGACAATGGTCATGTCCCTCACACCTTACTAGCCCAAACTGCCACGCTTCGAGGTATGATTTAAAGAGGTCGTGAAAATAAAGTACATTACTTTCATTTTCTGCAGATTAATTTTAAGGCCCACCTTTCTGCTCTCCTTGTCTAAATCCGTAATCATGAGTTGCAATTCGTCCCTTGAGTTACTCAGCAACGCAACGTCATCGGCGAAGCGCAGGTTACTGAGATACTCTCTATTAACTCTTAAGCCTAACTGTTCCCATCCTAGGCTTCTGAAAACCTCCTGTAAGCACGCGGTAAATAGCATTAGGGAGATTGTGTCCCCCTGCCTTACACCCTTCTTGATTGGTATTCTGTTGCTTTCTTTATGAAGCACTATGATAGCAGTTGATCCCCTGTAGATTTCTTACAGGATGTTTATATATGCTTCATCGACGCCCTGATTTCGCAGTGTCTGCATGACTGCTGATATTTCTACTGAATCAAACGCCTTCTCATAATCAATGAAGGCTATGTATAGGGGTTTGCTGTATTCTGAGCATTTCTCCATTACCTGATTGGTAGTATGAATGTGGTCAATTGTTGAATAGCCTGTTCAAAATCCTGCTTGTTCCTTTGGTTGATTGAATTCTAATGTTTTCTTTACTCTGTTAGCAATTACCTTTGTATATAGCCTGTATACTACATAGAGCAAGCTGATCGGCCAGTAATTTTTCAAGTCCTTGTCATGTCCTTTCTTATGTATTAAGATGATGTGAGCGTTCTTCCAAGACTCTGGTACTCTCCCAGTCAGGAGACACCTCGTAAACAGGGTGGCGAGTTTTTATAACACAATTTGTCCTCCATCTTTCAGCAGACCTGATGTTACCTGATCCTCACCAGCAGCTTTGCCTCTTTGCACTCTCTCCAAAGCTTTTCTGACTTCTTCTATCATTACTGGTGGGGTGTCATCTGGTTTACTGCTAGTTCTTATAGTAATAAAGTCGTGGTTGTTCTGGCTACTGTACAGATCTCTGTAAAACTCCTCTGCTACTTTAACTATCCTATCCATATTGGTAGGTACTTTGCCTTCCTTGTCCCTTAGCGCATACATCCGATTTTTGCCTATCCCAAGTTTCCTCTTCACTGCTTTGACGCTTCCTCCGTTTTTCAGAGCGTGTTCAATTCTCTCCATGTTATACCTTCTTACATCGCATACCTTATGCCTATTAATCAACTTTGAAAGCTCTGCCAGTTCTATTTTGTCTGTTGTACTTGAGACTTTCATGATTTGGTGCTTCTTAATGAGATTCTTCGTTTCCTGGGAAAGCTTGCCGGTGTTCTGTCTAACTACCCTGCCTCCAATTTCCACTGCACACTCCGTAATGATACTACTCAGATTATCATTCATTGTATCTACGCTAAGGTTGGTTTCCTCAATAAGAGCTGAGTACCTGTTCTGAAGCGAGACTTTGAATTCCTCTACTTTCCCTCTCAGTGCTAGCTCATTGATTGGCTTCTTGCGTATCAGTTTCTGTCGTTCCTTCTTCAAGTCTAGGCGAATTCGAGACCGTACCATTCTATGGTCACTGCATCGTACCTTGCCAACCACTTCCACATCCTGCACGATGCCTGGGTGTGCACTCATTATAAAGTCTATTTCGTTCTTATTTTTGCCATTAGGGCTCCTCCATGTCCACTTGTGGTTTCCTCGTTTTCAGTAAAGGTATTCAAAATCCGTAAATCATTGCGTTCTGCGAACTCTACTAGTAGCTCTCCTCTGGCGTCTTTAGTACCGATGTCATAATCTCCTACTGTCTGGTCTCCAGCCTGCTTCTTCCCCACCTTTGCATTAAAGTCTCCCATCAGTATAGTATACTGTGTTTTTACCTTACTCATTGCAGATTCCACGTCATCATAGAAGCTTTCAACTGAAGCGTCATCATGGCTGGATGTAGGCGCGTAAGCCTGTACCACCTTCATCTTGTACCTCTTACTGAGTTTAATTACGATACCTACCACCCTTTCATTAATGCTATAGTATTCCTATATGTTGCCAGGTATGTTTCTGTGAATTAGGAACCCCACTCCCAGTTCTCTTCTGTCAGCCGATCTCCGATAGCAAAGGACGTGCCCATTCTGTAGCACTGTATAGGCCTCATCTGTCCCCCTAACCTCACTGAGCCCTATTATATCCCATTTAACACCCTCTAGCTCCTCGAATAGTACATCTAGACTTCCCTCACTAGATAAGGTTCTAGCGTTAAACGTTGCAAAGTTCAGGTTCCAATGGCGGCCTGTCCAGATCCAGAGATTTTCAGCAACCTCTGCTGTGTTGCAGATCTGACTGCCGTCGTGATCAGTTGCTTCGCAGCTGCTGGGGACTGAGGGCCGTGAGTTATTTGACGTATGCATGTGGGAGGTAGTGGCCAGATACTGCACCAGGGTGGCCAATCCTTCTCTAGTGAGGGAGTGCGTTCCTTCTCCGGTGAGGCCGCACCCCAGACCTCTTAATGCAGTTCCATCACCACGCAGATTTTTTTTTTATCCGGTTGGGAGCTGCGCGGCACCGGGATTTGAACCACGGACTTTTTGTATGCGAGGCGGATGCTCTAACCACTACGCCATTGCTGCACTATGCCATCGCTGCAGAAAACGAAAGTAATGTACAACAACTTCAGAAAAGAGCAATGCTTCGAGAAAGGTAATAGTGCACTTCAAGTTGTAAAAGACTATGTCTACTTAGGGCAGGTAATAATCGTGGAGCCGAACCATGAGATTGAAGTAACTAGAAAAATAAAAATGGGGTGGAGCACAATTGGCAAGCACTCTCAAATTATGACAGGTAAATTGCCACTATCCCTCAAGAGGAAGGTATATAACAGCTGTATCTTGCCAGTACTTAGCTACAAAGCAGAAACCTGGAGACTTACAAAGAGGGTTCAGCTTAAATTGAGGACGACGCAGCGAACAATGGAAAGAAAAATGGAAGGTGTAACCTTAAGAGACAAGAAGAGAGCAGAGTGGATTAGGAAACAAATGGGGGTTAAGGATGTCATAGTTGAAATCAAGAAGAGGAAATGGACATGGGCCGGGCACATAGCACGTAGACAGGATAACTACTTGTCATTAACGGTAACTAACTGGATTCCCAGAGAAGGCAAGCGGGTTAGGGGGAGATGATGATGAAAATAAAGCTCGCTTTTGCACAACAATGCGACATCATCGAAAACCGCATGCACTGATCAGGTAACATCAGCCCGAGTATACCTGCATAGACGCTTTGCCTAACGAGAAAGGTGGAACTGCATGGCATCTGCGAGCACATGCAAGGGACACCCATTGGCGTCTTTGCGGTACAAAATCCGCCTCCCACAAGAACGCTGCTTAATATGACGCGAGCTGCAGAGTTGAGGCTAGCGGGGATTACGTATGGCAAAAATGCCAATGGGTGTTCCAATTGCACGCACTTGCAAGTACTGTGGAGTTCCACGTTCCTCGATAGGCAAAGCGTCTATGCAGGTTTACTCCGCTTACACTGACATCATCTAGTTAGTGCGTGTGGATGCCGGCAGTTACGCATTATCGTTTTGAGAGCAACCTTTTCATGACACCTTTCGTGCTGATATAAATAAGGATACAACCCCTATTTTAAAAAAATGGCCACCATGGCCTAATTTATGTCACCCCTTGTGATTTTTCAGGATTTACGCCACTGAGTAGCATATCAGGATGATAGTGTATACAGCTTGCTTTTGGTTTTCTTTAGACTCACTGGATGGTCAAATGGTTCAACTTCATTGTTTTTAGTTTGCCAACACCATTTCGGAGCAGCTTTGGAGCAGTTACTACAAAATATTTCACTGTGACAACAGTGGGACAATCTTTAGTTCCTTTGTTATGTGTGATATACACATACATGCATACATGAAGGTTCAGCTCTATAATGTGGCATTTGCATTAGGATAAAGTGCAATGAACAAAGACTGCCCAAGCAGTTCTATCTGTTCTACTTCAAGGATTAGAGAAAAATAAAAGTAATGCTTGAATGACTTCAATATCATTAAGTTTAATGCTCAGTTTGCATCAAGAGTAACGCCATGTTGTTGTGAACACTGCTGAGCCAATCAAATACTAGTTATTCAGAAATATGTCCTAAACATGTATATATAGATATCTCTAAGTTTTTTATCACACAGCACACAATCAAGCAGATTTCACAGCCAAAGTCAAGGCAGCTATTTGGTAGCAATCCATTAAGGTTTTTTTTATGCCTGTTTAATCATCACACACTCATGATCGGCTGAACTCATTGATAATGTGAAATAACTGTCATTCTGACCTCTGGCAAAGTGCAAAAAGCATGAAAAATGTCCCCTTCATCCGCAGTCTACCTTTTTTACACTTCAGCTGTAAAAATGTGGAATACCAACTAGCCCGCTCCCACACTATGCTTGAGAATGACAAGGCGATAGCATTAGAAATGTTATCACTACAATATACTGGCCCCGTATTCCTGTATTAAAGCATCATCATTTTCATCGTAGTCACATAAATGTAAAAAATGCATGGAGTTTTGCATGTGACTTTGTTTGAGTTATTGTAAAGCAACAACAGTGGTCTATGCAACTCTCTCTAGTGCAACACACCTCGAATCAGCACTATCCCAGGTGGTGATTAAACCCTGGAACTACATCAACCAAGGTGGGTGCGCTACTTATTAGGGCAGAGCTTAGTAAATAAAATACCTAAACCTCACTCTACATAAATAAATTTCAACAGTCAAGAATAGCCTAAAGGTGAAACATTTAAATAACAGCCATAATTAACATAAGATTGCAGGTCCTAGTGTGCAAGCAAGCACAACAAGCAATGAATTAATAATAAGGACTTACCTATCATCATTCGCACCGTTTCTGGGTTAAATGGCTTCCAAGTTCCTATGAAAGATAACAGGATTCAACAAGTCAAGTTAGTAGACTGTACTACTAATGCTTGTGTTGTGTGTCACAAGGACAATTAACACATATACATGCTGGCACAATCTGTAGTCGAAGAAGCAGACATTATTAGCTGGAGAAACAAATACTTAAGGGTAGAAATTTGGCCTTGTTGGTAATATATAAAACAATATTTAGTGCAAACCAACATAAATACGAAAATACAACATGCATGCTCTGTCCTCCCTTTTGATCCTTCCATTGCTTTGCACTAAGTATCCTTTCACATAAATATATAATTGCACAAGTAATACGTCACTAATCAGTACAGCTATCAGTGCACTTCAAGGCACATATAGGAATTCACAAACTGCAGACAGCATATTCACAAGGTAAATCCACAACAACATCCCAAGCTGACACCCATTTCTATACTTTTAGTTCTTCAAATTAGTTAACAAATAAACTAGTGACCCACTCACTGTTGTGCATCAATACATTAGGAAAACGTTTTAAAAATTAGGTGCAATGAAAATGCATTTGAACCTCGAGCCTGATAGTGCATATATTGATTTGTGTCATTAACAAAATTATTTCAGTTATTTCTAAGCAGTTATGCATTGCAGTCTCACCAGCTTGTATTTACAAATTGCAATATTTTGCCATAAAGTAATCAGTTAATTATGCATTTCAATTTCTGGCACAATGTCCACCTTTTTTAGTAATCAACTGTGAGCAGAAATGCTCCTTTACTTGAACTTAAATGTAGCAGTAATAAAAATATATTTGATGCATTCCCAGGCATCACAATACTCATTTTAGGTTTCTCAACACCAGTACTTTTATTTAGGGCAAGAATCCAAAAATTTTTTAAATTTGTTTCATTGCTCCTTTGACACTCAATCGGGGGCGAGATTTTTTTATTGATCCACCTAGTGGGACATGTCCACTTCGGTAGACCATGTTCAGTTATTCGTAAAAGTGGCAAGCTATGATGTCATGATGCTCTTGACCACATCCATGCACTGTAGCCACCAGCATATCCCAGCATAAAGAGAAACAACAGTAACAGGACACTTAAAGGAGTCATGACATGGTCACCCAACAATTGACGGTTTTCGGTGAAAAACGAAGGTAGGGGGTCAGATATGCTTGTACACGTGTCAAAACTGGACTGTAAAAGATTATATCAGTTCAAAATAAGCCGTAGAAGTCATCAGCTGTAGACTCTGCCCACCGCCCTCAACCGCGATTTTGTCATGGCGTGCGTGATGTCACAAGCCGAAGGAGCAGTGTCGTCGTCTGCTACCTAACAGCACCTTACGTGGTCAGTGTTGTGAGTATTGCTTGCCGCGTGCTCCACACATATCAGTGGGTTGCAAGTGTTGCAGTCTGTTATCGGTACCATCATCATATGCGGGAATGACATTGTGTACGTTGCGCATTTGACTCCATCACCACCAGCTCAAGCAATAAAGAAAGCGTCGAACCAAGATGCCAACGACCCCGCCATTGTGGCAGACGTTGCAGACAGCTTTCCGCAATAATAAGTAGCTTTATTTCAAGTGTGTCAGGTTGAAAAGCGAGCTTGGGATACAGGGGTTCGTCGACACTGCATTTGCGAGCAAGTGTTACTTAGCGCCGTGGAATTGGCAAAGCGTGCAGATTTTTGTTGCCTAGCATACGAGCATGCAAGACTTTCGGTGCTGAATATAATAATTAGGTAGTTGTTACAATGCTGCACGTTGGGACCATTATTTTTCTATCGGTTGTTGCATGTGGCATATGTAACCATAAGCCGAAGCGAACGGCATGTCAGTGCAGAACTAGGGTTACTCACGCTACACATTTTGGCCGAATCTTTGCTTGAACTTTGTCGATTGCATTCGGTTCCGGTAAAAAAAAGAAATAACAAGCGTGATGCTCAATCATGGCACTGCCTGCGACAAGTTTCAAAAAATATTTATTCGTAGTGGCAAATGGCATATGGATTGGACATTCACAGGACACTTTTTGACCTCCTAAATTGCTTGCTGCAACTACCAGCGCTACATGGGTGACTTGGTGGCATTGTTTAAACCCCTAGAAGTCATTTAGTTCCAGTGGCAAGTCGAACAACACAGAAAAAGTTCGACTGCAAGCGCACGATCGTCGTCTGGAATGCAGACCATGCACCAGCTCACCCAGCTAGCGGTTCATGACGTCACGGTTAGTGATTACGTCAGTGTTGCCCAACTCTCAGGCCACTTGCTCGTTTATAAATATATTCAATTTTAAATTAACAGCTTGACCGAATTCGCTCAAATTTTGCCAGCTTGTGTGTGAACGTACAGGAATCAACCCACACAACACTGATTATAGCTGAAAATTAGGTGTAATGACCCAATATGACGAGCCTGAACTTGCGCCTGAATGTGTACAGACAATTCATCATGATGCAGGGAATGACACACCTTCCAGGTGCGTAAGGCGAAGGTGCGTCGTGTGAGTGACTGCATGAAACCTGATTCAACGGCTCACATGATAAGAGTTCATGCACAGCCTCCGAGAGGTGCATCCAAAATCAGATCTCGGGGGGCAGCATTCGTTGCAGTAAAATGCATTCCGTCTTTCTCATTTGTGTTGAGAGTTGTGAAAGCTTCGTAAAGTCAAAATGACGTAGCGGAAGAAAGACCTGGAACTGGAGGCGCACTGCTTGGCAAGCTCCAGCTAATCGGTGGAGGCCGGAGTGGACAGCTCACTAAGTGGACCCATCAAGAATCACGCCCCAAATGCTGGTCAACTAGCTTAACTAGAGCTAATACAGCTTGTCAGAAATGGTTCAGCTTTACACTGGCCCTACCAGGAGCATTTTCTCCTGTGCATTCGAAGGTCATCTATTATATAGCATTGAACTTCATAAAGGATCAGAAAGGGAGCATCACAAGCAATGCAAACACAATCTTAGGCACAAGATGTTCATGTATGTTACATTGCATTTCCCTCCAGTATGCACACACGGCTAACAAGCTCACGCCACTGCTGATGTGTTCAAAAAGAAACAATAAAAGATTGATGAAAAATTTTAAGAGAGCTTGTCAATGAAGGTCAGCAATGTGTGAAGCACTGCAGAGGACACACTGATTTTTCCAGGCCAGACTGTAATATTTACAGTAGTAGTGCAAACTTAACGAAAGGTGTAAATATAAAAACAATAGATAATGTGAGGTGTACCAGCAACTAATCACATTAATTCTTCAATTACTTCACTGCTTCTCTGGACAGTCATCAGTAACTTCAGCTATGGGATTGATGTAAGTGGTTGTAATTGGTTACTTTGTTCTGTTATACTTTAACATCTGCCTAAAACTTTCAGATATCTGAACTTTTGAACAAGCAAACTCAGTATCTTACATACCGAAGGCCAGTCCTATTTTACATAGTTATGAGCATGCACTTACCCAGTAGCAGATGAGCGGCCTTCAAACCCGGGGAGCATCATCTACCAACATCGCTTTATCCACATTTATAGCTACGGTGTTTTGATGGCAATGGGTAAGGTATCTTACCCACTGCCATGAAAGCCGCTAAACTGAGCATTTCAACACCAACTATACCATTGCGTAATTGTAGCACAGCCCACAGTCATGGTATTCCATTTAGTCTAGCCCACAAGGTTAGTAACACGTGAGCCCCTGCCAGTAGGTGTACTAATGCTGGCGTAGCATTTAAGGGCGTTACCCAAGCCATTTAAGCAGGCCAAGATAAGGGACGTCAACCCACTCACCATTTGACAGGGCACTCTGGAGCTCCGTTGCGCTTATGTTTCCGCTTCGATCTTTGTCGACACTGAAACAGTCATTCGATCGTGTAGCAAACTAGTAGAATCTAAAGTGCAATACTGCCAAAAACAAACTTGTCAACCGATTAGGTTTTGCCCACTTCAGGTTACATCGTAGCGGGCTGAAGGGGCTGAACCACGGGCGACCACTTTAGATACTCAATACCAACGTTTACCTGAATACAACTATGCTCGAAATAAATTTGCTCACACCTACAGAGGACAAATGAAACAAGATCACCGTACTTTCTGAAGAGACCCTGGAGGTAGCCGACATCAGCCTTCGGTGCTTGAGGAGTGGCTTGTGAATACATGATCTCTCGCGCCCTTTCTGTCTACAACAGCAATTTATCGAAATGTCTTTCCTTATGTGCACCACTTCAAAGGGAATACAGAACCAGTACACGAAAACTAGAAACAATCACCACGACCACACATTCAGGAACTGACCACGACGATGACTTCGAACTGGATTGGTTCGGATAGCAGGACCCTGCCAAACATGGCACGACGATGACTTCGAACTGGATTGGTTCGGATAGCAGGACCCTGCCAAACATGGAGGAAGGAAAAATATGATGCTGCCAAAGCCACCATACCCATATAGTTTCATACAATAATACAAGTCCTTATCATTTGGACAATTTGGTCGGTTCAAAATTATCTGCTGCAAAAAAGTAGCGCTACGAAAGCTTCTGAAGCAAAAAAAAAAAAACACCAGGTCATACAACGTTGGTGAAACACGCTTATAAACACGCGGCCTGGAAAGGTCGAACTTACAGCTTACGCTGTGATTGTAAAATATATTTGATGAAAATGTGAAATATAATCGAATGACCTCAAGAAAGAGCTAGGTTTTTGTGAGCTCTCCCCGGTACAGCGGAAAGGTATCCAAAACGTCATAAATTATAATTATTGTAAAACAGAAAGACATTATGAGCACATATTGTCACGGGCTAAGTAGATGCCTGAGGATGACGACTACGAAGTGCTGAACGTGACCGTGCTCGGACTGCAGCAGCGTTGTACGCATTAGCTCGCCAGTATATTCGCCAGTACGCATTTGCTCGCCAGTGTATACTTTATTCCCCGTAACATCATTGGTGGAGGTGCGGGGTACCACTCGCTATACAGCCCAACGAGCTGGATCTTCGCAGCGGACGGCGCATTGCAGCTACCCCGATGACTGACCAGGCTACTCAATGTCAACAAGATCCGTCAGCCCCACAGCCGATCGTTGTGGTGCAACCTCGTGACCCAGGCCCATTCAACGGCACAAGTGGCATAGACGTCCATGACTGGCTGGTTCTATATGAGCGCGTCAGCAGCAGCAACCATTGGGATCCGACGCTTATGTTGGCGAACATCATCTTCTACTTGCATGGCACGGCAAAACTCTGGTACGAGACACATCAAGAAGAGCTGACTAGCTGGGACGTCTGTAAGCAGAAATTGCGCTATCTATTTGGGAAACCCATCGGACGTCAAGTGGCCGCAAAGAAAGAGCTTGCGACTTGTGCCCAGACATCCACAAGAGCCATACATCGCGTACATCCAGGACTTGTTGGCTTTGTGCCGCAAGGTCGATAAGGACATGTTTGAGGAGGGCAAAGTCGTACACATCCTGAAAGGAATTGCCGATGACGCCTTCATTTTCCTGATGTGCAAGGACTGCTTGATGGTGAAGTCGGTCATCGAAGCATGTTGTCGTTTCGAACAGGCGAAAAGTAGGCGCATCGTTCACCGATTTGACCGCCTTTCCAACACGGCGGCTACGTCCTCCTGCCAAGATTTGCCCACACTACATCAACCACAAGCGCCGGAAAACGTCACCAGAATAGTCCATCGGGAACTCGAGGCTATGGCACCCGCTATTTCTAGCGTCATTGCTCCAGGAAACATCCTCGCTGCTGTTTCAATGATAGAAGCCGTGGTTCGCCAAGAGATCGCGAATATGGGCATTTTGCCACCTCATCAAAATGCCCCTGCTACTTCTAGCTCGGCTCCTCCAGTTGTTGAGGCAGCTACTCCGAACCGCACCTTCACGCCACGACGAAACCCAGCCGAATGGCTCACTCATGATGATCGGCCCATATGTTTCACGTGCCATCAGATAGGAAACATCGCTCGCCATTGCCGCAGCCGCTGTACCTCATCACCTCGACCGAGCTTCTATGATTGGCGGCCTCGCTCTGAACGTGCACCTTATGCCCCATCCTACCGTGCTGAGACAGGTGCAGAGCATAACCTAGAACGTCGGACCAGCCGCTCGCCATCGCCCGTGCGTTGTCAGTCCCGCTCGCCCCAACCCCGCCGTTCTCGGTCTCCCTACGACCGTCGCTCGGAAAACTAGCCGGTGCAGCCCCCAGAGGTGACGCTGCATACACGACTCGAACTGCTAATCCTCTGATTACTCCCGACCAGCGGTGCAACCTTCTTACAATTTTGGTTGATGGTTTACCTGTGACTGCTCTTATACAAATATCTGTGATGAGCTTAGACCTCCGCTGCCGCCTCCAAAAAGTTCTGACGCCTGCGATTGCACCTACCGTTCGTACAGCGGATGGGAGTACTCCTGCTGTGCTTGGAATGTGCACTGCGCGATTAACGATTTCTGAGCATCAAACTTCAGTTCTGTACTGGAAAATTGCCCTCATGACCTCATCCTTGGACTCGACTTTCTGACTTCACACGCTGCGCTCATTGACTGTTCCAAAGGTCTTCTTCGGCTCGAACTACCATCCTTCTCAGAGACCGTCTCTACCAGCCCACCTCGTCTACGCTCTGTCGATTTCCTCAGACTTCCGCCGCAAGCCGCAGTCCAGGTCCAACTCTTGCCATAATCTCCAGTACCCGATGGTGATTATGTTGCTGCCCCAATTTCTGACGTGGCCATGACATGCAACGTTGCACTCCCCAACACGGTGGTTACCGTTAAGGACAACCGAACTTCATTTCCCGTCCTCAATTTCGGCTTCTCAGCGCAAGTTATTCTTCGCGGCATGTCAGTTGCGCATCTGACACCACTGGTCGACCACACAGTTTCCGCCCTAACCACCGATTCGCCACCCGATTTTTCATCAACGTCGCTCTCGTCACGTTCCTGTTCCGACCTTTTCAAGCCAATGCTATCTGACAAGCTCACCTCTGAACAAGTCTCTGCTTTCTGCCGTGTGCTTGCTTCTTATCACGACATCTTTGACTTCGGCGACCGTAATTTGGGCCAGACATCCGTGGTAACCCATCGCATCGACACCGGTGACGCTCGACCCATTCGCCGACGACCCTACCGTGTGTCAGCCCCGGAGCGTGCTATTATACAACGAGAAGTCGATAAAATGCTTGATAAGGGCATAATCGAACCCACATATAGTCCCTGGTCCTCACCCGTTGTACTTGTTAAAAAGAAGGACAACAGCTGGAGATTCTGTGTAGATTACCGTCATCTCAACCATATTACCAAGAAAGGTGTCTAACCCCTACCGCGCATAGATGATGCACTCGATTGCTTGCACGGTGCCAAATATTTCTCTTCTATAGACCTTCGCTCAGGCTACTGGCAGATCGCTGTGGACGACAAAGACAGAGAGAAGACGGCCTTCGTGACTCCTGATGGACTTTATCAGTTCAAGATGATGCCTTTTGGATTATGCAATGCCCCCGCGACATTTGAGCGCATGATGGACTCTCTCCTTCGAGGCATGAAGTCGACCATCTGCCTCTGCTATCTTGACGACGTTATTGTTTTTTCGACTGATGTGACTGCGGAGCGAGAGCATGCGACGGACGCGAATCACATCGGCTCCGGCTCAGGTTCAATTTCAAGAAGAATTTCTTCCTGGCGACCTAATGCAACGATAGGAACTTGTTCCTAGCATCACCACTGTCAAGCCTATACCGGACTTCAACCTGTGAGTGCGCTTTTAAACGTTTTAACGCTTTCGAAAGTTCTTGAAGAGGTCCACCTCGCTAACCCTAACAAGCCGGAGACGCGGCTTGGACAGAACGCCGCGCCGCTCTACAGCGGATGGCGAGCGTCTCTGGGAGCGTCGCAGCCGACGAGAAGCACTCATTGCCCTCTCGCTCCACGGACCACATGATGGATACGCAGACCAGTCAAGACGCCGATACGCAGGTGAGCGATGAGCACAACGCAAATCCATGGATCACTGTTACCAAGAGAGCGAACAAACGCCGACAGCTGCAACCCCATACCGTACCGACTCAACAGCTGCCCAGCACGCCGTCTGAGCCCGATATACGCCAGAGCCGGCCTAAGACGCGTCTACCAAGACTCCCACCACTCTCTGCCGAGGACTACTAGCTAGCAATCCGTCCCCATGGTGGATTAAATCTCAGCAAGGTTAGCCCCAAGACATTACTTCTCGCCGTAGTTCATGCCGCAAATATACGCAGTGAGAAGCCTGATATCAAGCTTCGAGTTGACGAAAATCAAAATGTGCTAACAATAAGCACCTCATCTGAACACATCGCCATGGCACTTGGACAAATCACCAAAATTACAGTGCACGCAGCAACCTACGACACAACGTCTTATGGTATTGCGCCTGATAATTCGTGCAAAGGGGTGGTCTCCGGAATAGGCCATGAAATCACACCAGACGACTTCCTGACAGAAGTTGAAGTACCGGGCTACGAGGTCCTTACGTGCAGACGCCTCGGCAACTCCGGAGCAATGGTGCTCACATTTTGTGGCAAGCGAGTCCCTTTCTTCGTGAACGCGTACGGACAGGCTCTCCGCTGCTACCTCTACAAACGAACTATTCCCCACTGTAGAAAGTGCAACAAAATTGGACACCGCGAGGATGTGTGCCCACAGCCTCCTGACACACCGAAATGTCGAGTGTGCAGGGATTCACTATCACCCAACAACCACGAGTGCCTCCCTTCTTGCATGCTTTGTGGTGGCGACCACCCGACGGCTGCCAAACCATGCCCAAAGCGGTTGTTGCCACCTGTCGACCGACGCAAACCACCCCGGTCAGCTACTCCCACCAAGAAGGCCCAGTCACCATCTCCCAGCCCCGGACGACAGAGCAGTGCGTCCGGGAGTGCAGCCAGGCGAAGGAGCCATTCCAGGGATAAGTCGGGGCCCAAGCGAGGAAACTCGTCATCGCGGAGTGGTTTCGCTGGCCAGCCGGGATCTCAAGGCTGGCACACGGACGGGACAACGCATCATCATGGCCAGCAAAGCGGTTCCCACAAGAAAGCACAAACGGTAAGCTGGGCAGGGCAGTTCCCTCCTCTCCCTCCCTCTCCACACCAGTCCCACTCCCTCACACAAACATCAACGCAGGAAAGAACACCACAACCAACGCCACCTAGACTACCACAACCCATGTCAGTAGACACTCAGCTTCACCCTGACATGTCGTCAACTACGGCACGATCCGACTATTGCACACGAGAGGCGTTGTATGAAAGGGCTACTTCTTTAAGGAACGAATTCGCAGCTATGATGCAGGTAGAAA